GCAGTGGTGTGATCTCGGCTCACTGCAACCTCCGCCTCCCAGGTTCACGCTGTTCTCCTGCCTCAGCCTCCCGAATAGCTAGGACTACAGGCACCCGCCACCACGCCCGGTGAATTTTTTTGTGTTTTTAGTAGAGATAGGGTTTCACCGTGTTCACCAGGATGGTCTCGATCTCCTGACCTTGTGATCCTCCTGCCTCAGCCTCCCAAAGTACTGGGATTACAGATGTGAGCCACCGCGCCCGGCCAATTTTTGTATTTTCAGTAGAGACGGGGTTTCATCATTTTGGCCAAGCTGGTCTCGAACTCCTGACCTCAAGTGATCTGCCCGCCTCGGCTTCCCAAAGTGCTGAGATTACAGGCGTTTGCCACTGCACCTGGCCTCCTCCTGAGTTTTTGAATAAGGGTTTCTGGGAGAGTAGCTCCAGAGAGCAGGAGGCCCAGTGCCCTGCACAGAGCGGGGACCATGGTCTCTGCTCTGCCTCCAAACATCCACCAGCCTCCTGGACTCTAGGTGAGCCTCCCGGGGGCTCCCCCAGCAGACTCCGGAGGCCCAGGAGATCCAGCCCGTAGCCTGGGGAAGGGGTAGGCTGAAGGTTCCCATCCCAGAGGGGTGTCCTCATCCCAGGAGGTGCTGGATGGCACTCAGCCTCCTGTTTCCTTACGTGTCCCTAGGGCAACGGGGTCAGCCTCTCCCAGGACCACCACGAACGTTTCAGGCGAGGAGGGTACAGGTGGCCACTGCCTGGACCCGCAAGAGGGCTCTCGAGACCCTGATGTGGGTGAGCGGTGACAGGAAGCAGCTCCCGGAGGTGGTTTTTCCCAGGCTGGGCCCATCCCGTTTTGTAACCAGTAGCGGGGCTGTCCCTGCCACCCTGGACCCCAAAGTGTGGCCCGCTGGGGCCCCTGACCCTCTCCTGGGCTCCAGGTGCTGTCTCCTGTCTCCATCTCGGGTGCACATGCCAGGTCCCCTGGGTGCTGTGTGCTCCCCACTCCTTCACGCGTGGGCAATCTCCCCATCCCTGCCCCAGCCCCCACCCTCACACCATCAGGTCGAGCCCCTGCACCCACCTGTCTGTCTGAACAAGAGCGTGGCCCTTCCCGCCCTCCCTGCAGTGACTGTGGCTTCCTGGGGACAGGAGGCGGCTGGGTGGAGATCTGGAAGCTGCTCCTCAAGCCCTGCCCTGATAGCTGTGTGTCTCCGGGAAAGTTCCTGCCCCTCTCTGGGCAGCCTTGCTTTTCCCCACCAAAGGGGTGAAAATCCTTAGAACGCGTCGAGTCTGGAGGTCAGCTACCCCATGCCCCAGGAGGCCCCTGCCTCTGCCAGTGGAGTCTGATCTTCCAGGGCTGGGACTCAAGGGGTTTAGGGTGTCCTGTCATTCCGGGGTTCCCCTGCTAGGCTCTGGAGGCCTCACTGTGAGGCCAGAGGCACTGCCTTGCCAGTCCGCGGGATGACAGGGTGAGGGGCCAGGTGTGCACCTCCAGCCCCTTCCCCATCCCCAAGGCCACCACGTGGACATGGAGCTGAAAGGTCAAATGTGCTTTAATGGGGGGTGGCTCCCAGGTCCTGCCTGGGCCCCGGGGAAGTGGCGCTGGCTGGGCCTGCCGGCTGCTTGGCCTTCCCTCTCGGCTTTCCCTTCTTGGCCGTCGAGGCCTTTCTCTTGCCGGGCAGACTGGGGGCTGGGGTGTTGGCGGCAGGGGGCCCCGGGTGGGGCGGCTGCTCCTCGTCGAGCGCCTTGAAGTTGAAGAAGTAGTCGACGTTGGACACGGTGTCCAGGATCTCAGGCACGCTGTAGTCGAAGGACAGCAGCTCCTCGGGCAGGCGCAGCGACCGGATGTCATCGGCTGGGTTCCCACCACTGCTGTCAGGCAGGGCCGGCCCGGGGACCTCGCACAGGGCACCCTCGGGCTCAGTGGCGCCTGGCAGGCAGTCGAAGAGCTTCATGGCGTCCTCCAGCAGAACCTTGTCAGGCAGTGCCAAAGCTCTGGCCGTCTCGGGGGCCTTGGCCTCGCCTGCCCCCAGCAGGGCCCCCTCCTTGGCCTCAGCCACCTTGAGCTCGCTGAGGCCTGGTGGGTACAGGGGCACCCCAGGTCGGGCCCCGCTGCCCTGTAGCTCCTTGGCGGGGAAGGCCAGGGGTTCGGGCCCAGGGAAGTGGCCGACGTGGCCCTGGAGGTGGCTGTAGGCGTCCGGGGGCAGTGTGGGCTCTGCAGGCAGCGTGATGAGTACAGGGGATGGCTTGTTCTCCTTAGGAGGTGGAGGGGGTGGTGGGGCCGGGCCTTCCTCGAGTGGCGGTAGGGGCAGCTCCATGAAGGCGGCAGGTCCCGCGTCCCCCACAAAGCCCAGAGCCTCTGGCCCGGGGCCCTCAGGCGGGAAGTAGGGCAAGAGGAACTGGGGCCCCCCCGGTGCTGGTTGGTAGTGGGGGTATGGGGGCAGCCCCGGGGCCTTGAGGTAGGGCTGCGGCTCCAGGAGGTAGCTGCCGGGGGCAGAGGAGCCCCCCACTGGCCCCCCGCTGCTTGCCGCCAGCTTGTACAGGGCCGACTGGCCCAGGTCAGGGGTGGTCCATTCAATCCGATAGATGCGGGGGTCGAAGAGGCACCCGCATGGGGCCATCTGGAAACCTGTGGGCGGCAGGCAGGTGGCCTGAGAGCAGCCGCTGCCTGATGGGCCCAGCTCAAGCCTGGGGGCCTGTCTGGGGGATGCCACAAGAACCTTGCCATTGGGGGGCCCCTTTGGGGGACGACATAGGTATTGCTTTGGGGCCCTGGCTGGGTGATGGATAACACAGAGCTCGTCTTTGGGGCTCATCTGGGGGACCTGTGTGAAGCAGGGGAGCAGAGGCCATGCTTTCAGGCCCCCACCTAGGGACAGGGCAGGGGCAAGATGGGCCTGCCCTCAAACCCACTCCCAGCCTCATCAAGGGTTCAGGGGAGGCCGGTACCTGCTGGAGGGGCCGGAAACACCTCTTTCTCTGGGTCTGGGGGATGGTAGAGGTTCAAGGAGCCTGTGGACAAAGGCGCCCGGGTGGGTGGGGCCCTTAGGCGGGTGGGTCCCTGAGCCCTCCCTAACAGGTGCCCCTGCCCACCCGATCGTACCCACGGCAGGAGGCGGCTCGGTGCAGGTGGGAGCGGGCTGGCTGCCCAGTGCCTCGGCCCCCTCCAGACTCTGGGGGCTGAAACCTTCCTGGGGAGCTGCAGGGGCATAGAAGGGTTTGGGGTGCTGCATGGGGCGATGGGGGGCCCAGCCCAGACAGGCCAGGAGGGCGGCAGTAGGAGCACGGGTGGCCCAACCAGAGAAGAGGCTGAGAATCCGGCGGGGTTCTGTTTGCCTGGTTACTCGGGGCAGCGG